AGTGGATCCGAGTCAGTGGGGAACGGATGAAATTGAGCATGCATCACGCCGGTTAGTGTTTAAAGGAGACACTGGTAGGAAAAAAAGTCTACACACTTCACTGGTCGAGTACGTCACAACAAAAGGATATTTATTCTTTTCTTTATGGTTCAATACCTCGCTCTTCTACTTTTATACTAGCGATATATGACTTCCGGCCCTCTAGATGGCGGGTCCTATATACAAAAGTAAAATTTGATTTCCTCCGGTAATGAATAGGTATTCATCGCTATATCATAGCGGAGACTTTACAGAGCATACAGTGTTCGATAACTCCATCCTCTTTTAGCTCGTACATATATTCCTTTGTTTTTCACGGTTATACAAGTGCCATTAGTGTTGGTATGTATGACCCCTCGTTCCAGTTTATAAAGGGCATTAGTTCACGGGAGTTGTAAGGTCATATTTGTTTTTGTTTTCCTGTTCGCTATATTTTTAGCTAGTTGTCTATTTGTAGTTGTTTTAATGCTTTGTTCTCCGCTTCCTTTTTTATTTGTCGTTACTGTTATTGAGCATCAATTGTTATGGGACCCAATTTTCCTGTTCCTATTTAAAAGCAATCATATGTTAATTGGCATTAATATTGCCTTAGTTCTCATTTCTAACAAGTCCATATTTCATATTTGTTATTAATTCAGACTTTCGTGCTGGTTCCAGCTTTTCTTATTGTTCATGCTGATTCCTCTATTATCATTTCATCATGAAATATATCTATTGTATGTGTCATCATATATTCGCTGGTTATTTCCTATTTATATTACATTCATATTTTATCATGTTATTGTATTTGCCGGGGTCGGTTATTATTGTTTACATATCCTGTTTTCTCACTCTTTCTCTCTTCTCTTATCTCTTTAGCATTCCCGATTTGGGGTAATGACTTCAGTTACTCTTCCAGTGTCTTCCATGTCTTCTACATTCGTCCTTCATCGTCATCACTCTTAAAAGCCATTTTCTCACTCTTGGCTGACTTGTATCATCTCACCCGCACTCTCTCAATTTCTTCTCCATCGGCCTTGTGCTTTCGATCTCACGGACCCCTTCTCTCGTCCGCCGTCGCGACACATGGGTATACCATGATTGTCTTACACTCTGTCGAGGTTACCGCGGACTTCCCAATCTCTTTAACCACTCTCTCTGCAAATATATAGACAAGGTTGTGGACCTCTATCCCGAAAGTTGCGCTTCTCCACATAATATAAAGTCTCCACTCTCCGCTACCCGTACACTGAGGCGAAGTTCCGAGGAGTGGGCTCCTTTTTCCCACTCTTTAAATATCCGTCTCCAAAATCCGGGAGTTCCATCAATCTGCTTGAGCTAAAATGAACATCTTCATTTTGTTCTCTCTGGTACAGCTTCTCTTCTTTCTTCAATCCTCGTATTATATTTATATATACTAATCTACATAATAATCTATATAGATAATTACTTTCTTCTGTTCTCCCTCAACCCTTATCCTAGTTATCAATACGTCCTGTCTGTCTTTCAAATTTCTTATAAAATATACTGTCCATTCCTTAAAAATTCTATTCTACCCTATTTGCTGTGTAGAGGTGTTTGTCGATGTGAATCTCGTGAGACACACACAACACAACCACTAAGACCCAAACACACACAATCCACACACACTATGGGGCCCATCACAGCCCAACAGAGATCCCCACCTCTCCACCGTAGTCGGTGCCCCTTTCTAATCCTCACTCTCACCAAACGACCTCTCACACCACACAAACACACCACAAGTCCCAGCTTCATTCTGACACCAACTGCCATTCCCACTTAACACGACACACATTCCGTCCTGACGCGATCACGGAACACAGCCTTGTTTCACATCAACAGTCCCCCACACCCCAAGCACCAGACCTTCGACGCCACACACTCGCGTACAACGGAATACCTGCGTGCGCTGATCTCCAATGAGCATTACATCACCGGGGCCCACCTCTAACACAGCCCATCGCTAAAAATAAAGACCTCTCTCTGTATCATCACCTCACTCGAGCCGCCCGCATGGACGCGACCTCCACCACAAACCCATAACAGGGCGCGTGGTGCGGGCGTTAAGGAACAGCAAGTGGAACTTCGGCTCCCGTGCGTGGCATGGGAGTATTTTTGGTCATGTGGCTCATTGACCGCCGTCCGTCCACCGTGACCGCTTGCCGCTTACATCCGCTCCCACCCCCCTCCCATCCATCGCTGATCCCCCCACCGGTCCTCCCTATTCCCGTCCACTATCACCCATCCCCACATCACGACCACAGCACCAATGTCGGAACATGCTAGCTGGGAGGGGTTGTCGCGACCGATCGAGGGGGGGGTCGAGGTTAGTGGGCAACGAGGGGAGCGAGGGCCCGCAGGCTCCTCGAAGCCGTCAAAACGTGGGGAAAGGTGGGCTGGGTCTCAAGCACACTAGCTATCCAGGACTCAACAGACACATCCCTGGGAAAACCACGCAGGT